TAAACTATAAAATATAACAAAAATATAAAATAAAATAATAATAGTAAATATACATATTTTTTAAAAAAATGTAAAAAAACTATTCATTTTTTTTAACACTATTTACATTTAAATTATGTGATCTTAAACTATTACGCAAAGATTGATTTACACTTTATTTACCGTTTTTACGCAAAGCTCTCTTCTTAACTGGCCTACCAATTTCTTCTTCTTGATCAGAATCAACTAAATCATTACTTTCTAAATCACAAGACTCGAAACCCATTTGATTAGCGTCCAAATCTTCAACAGAATTTTCCAAATCATCATTTCGCGTACGTTTCAATGAATAAGAACAACTCATTTCAGATTTATCCACAAAATCACCAGAATTAACTGAAGATAAAGTTTCACGTTCTAAATTATCCTTGGAGTTTTCAGAAATATTTTGATGAGTAGCCAGAAGTTTTGACCAAATACTATTTTGAGATGCTGAAAATTTTTGAGAACCACTTTTAAACCATTTTTTCTTGACAATAAATTTTGTATCAACATAATTAATATTCTTAGCATACACGTAAAATTCATTGTCGATAATCTCCAACTGACCAACTACGAAAACCAATGATTCTTGAGGATGAATAGTATCTTTAATATGAACAAAACGTGAATTATGGCATGAAAAAAATGACTTTTACAATAAAATTATACTCCTAACCGATATAGTCAGTTATCAAAACTTTGACAATAACATCATCCTTCACATCACTAGGCATTTCTTGCGGAACTCCGACCAAAGAAATCTTCAAAGGACACTTATTGGATTCAACAACTTTGTTAAGAATAGTTACATGCGTAGACGTTGAAACTGTCATCTAAAAATTTAAGTTAAACATTTATACCATGAAATACCAATAAAACATACAATCAATACCTTCGCTCTCTTATTTCCATTATAATAACCAGGCACAATTTTGCCTCCAACGGAAAAAAAATTATCCTTCTCAAAAACAGCTTGAGTTTCGAAATCTCTATCATTCAAATTAACCGGCACAAATAAAACCAATTCGATATCATAATCTTCACGTTCAATAGGATATGTACCAATAGCCCACACCACCAACAAATCAGAATCTTCTTTCACATTTTGTTTCACATACTTAATTCTTACGATCGTATCAGCATAACACGGCATAAGAACAAATTATTTTTTTCAACAAAGTTTAAATAAATAACACAACATTCCAAAATCACTTATAAATTTATACACTGAAAAAAACACCAAAACACTAAAACAAACATTACAAACCAAAAACATCATAAACCATATTAAGAAATATTACACTATAAAACAAATACTAATTATTATCAAAAAACGCCACAAAAAAAATAATACCATATAACGATCAAATTACATAAATCCAAAAAACTTAGATTGAACTCCAAACAAGAATAATATTAATATAATATACAAACCAATCGGCATATAAATATCAATATATAAACTATATTAATATGACTCTATTAAAAAAAAATTCTCACAGATAAATACTATATCGATATCCCATTTCTCTAAAATTTCAATTACATCATTAGTCGCAAATTAAAATAATTAATTACGCCACATTAATAAAATAAAAATACAATTAATGACAAAAAAATATCGAACTTAATGTAAATAAATAAATAAAACTAAAATACCTGTAAAATAACCTGAAACAAAACCAATTACAATAATATAACCACATAAAAACTTTATTCTATAATCGATCAAATAATAAAGGTCTAATAAATATATACTATACTATAATTTTGCAAGGAATTTTTTTGTTAGAATACAAAAGGTAGTTTTGTAACCAAAATTTTAAACTACTGACGATTTTTGAAAAACTTTGACTTTTTTGAAAATTTTAAGGTACACAAGATCTTATAATTTAACGAAGAGTGCGCAATCTGTCAAACAGAATTAACAAATATCAAATCAGAACAGTGGGGAGAAATTAGAGATCACCAATATCAATACTTTTTAGAACAAAAATAAAAAAAAAACAAAATTTTAACTTTAATACACAAAATTTAACTAGATCAAATACCACTAATATCTCATACAATATTAATCATAACTTTCAATATATAGATAATCAATACAAACTACGTCATTCTTCACTCTCATACTATACCTTTAAAACTCAATCAATAACTTACTCAAATATAAAAAATCACAATCAAAGTAATCACAAATCTTTTAACCTACAAAAATAACAAAAACTTACAAATATAAATACAAGCATAACTATTGAACATAAATCCCGTGGCGAAGCCACGGGTTGAAAGCTAGTATTAATTAATTATATACATAAAATTACAGTTATCAACAAATAATAACAAAAATAATATATAAATCTCAATAAAAAATATTACAATTAATATAGAGACGCCACCGGCTCCTCCTCTTCTCTTG